GAAAGAAAGAAAGAAAGAAAGAAAGAAAGAAAGAAAGAAAGAGCTCCTGCCAAGTCCTCCCTTGGGCCCACCGTGGAGCATGAAACTCTGCGGGGAAGCGGCGGGCGGTGGCGTACTCACCACTGGCGCCCAGTACGCTGCTCTTAGACGCGACGACCGGTGAAATGCCTCCTACTCCTCTTGCCCTTCCCCGGCCGCCGGGTCCGTTGCCTGTGGGGACGCCGCCGGCTCCAGTTCTGGCCCTGCCCCTACCGCGGCCGCCTGGGAGCCAAGCCGCCCCTTCCATCCCCCTTCCTTCGCCGTCGCCGTCGCCGCCGCCGAGTCAGTTCCCAGCGTAAAGCTTAAGCGAGCGAGAGCAGGTCGTCGCTCTCATCCAGCGGCTCCGGCCTGAGCAAAGGAACCGCCACGGGAGCAAGCCAGGTGTAGAGACGTCGCGTTTCGCCTTCCTCAGTCGCTCGCGACGTGCCAGCGTCAAAACTACAATTCCCAGCAACCCTCTGCGCGGAGGGGGTGCAGAGCAGAACGCCGGATAAAAGCTCCACAGAACCGGAAAGAGGAGGGGAGGTCGGAAGTGTTGGGGAGGTTCTCTTTTGTCTTTTATCGAGCTTATACCGAATAATGGGTGTACTCGAGTACTTTCACGGTCTGTTGAATGGCAAAGGGGCGAACAAGGGTGGACAGAAAGTCGACCTGTAGATGTTTCAACTTCTCAGGTGTTCAGACTTCAAGACTGACCAACTTGGGAGCTGAAGGCCAAAACCTTCTGAAGATTACCTTCTGCCCATCTCTGGTGTATTTTTAGAAATAATAAATCGAGAGTTGGTGTACCCACACAGTACAATTGTCTTATTTTCATGGTTCAGCTTCTCGAGGACGCAATCCCAAACCACTTTTAACTCAAATGAACAGACACAGGCTGTGGCTGAACTGATCTTTTCTTATTTATCTAAAAACAGCGCGTCAGTGCAAATAGATGATGCTAGTGGCAGTACACTTTCTCTGTACATGAGTAAGTGAAGTTTCCTATTTTAGGGATGCCTAGAGCAGAAGAAACAAGATGCAAAAAACATCGAAGAGGCTTATAATGCTGTAAAAGACTAACAATGTAATAATATGCATGTTGAGAGAGGAAAAGGTGTTACAAATTCCAGTGTGCCTCCAGGAGCCAGAGGCTCTTTAATCCTTCATAGATGTCATTGAGTATTATGCTATTTAGACTAGAATGTCTTTATATCAAATTATCTCTATACCATCATGCTGCAATTCACTGTACATAAGAAATTATACATAATTACTTTACTGCAAACAAAGATGCCCTGTCAATCACAGATTATCTTGACTGGACAGCATGTTAAGCTTTGCAACATCAGGAAACCCAAAATCGCTACTGAAGAGTTCAACAAATACCTCTTTCTAGGTATACTATACATGGAACAATATAGAATATAATTTACATTGCTTTCAAGTGATACTCATGAAGATGCATTCGTCTGATGAAATGTGTAACGGATAAAATTTTAAGATCTTGAAAATATGTCCATTGAACACAACTGCATTTTAATAATACAAAGATGAAAACTGGGTATTATATTTATTTATTTATTTGAAACATTTGTTCTAAATAAATAGTGGAAAGTCTATTTCTGGTGGAAAGTCTTCGGCAATTGTTCTATCTTTCATTGGCTTCTTTATTGCTACAGATCATGCAATGCTCAGAATATCCAAATATGTACATTTTTCATTCTTTATTCTCCCAAACTATTTCTGTTTCTTCTAAATTCGAGAAATCAAAATCCTTAGATAGTAGCATGATGTTCTCGAGTTGTGTGAGCCTTGTTTTCAGTTTCTGCTGTGTAGCACCATATTCAGCCAAAAGTCTGGCAAACCTTGTCTGTAAATTGTCTAGCATTGCTTCTATGTGGTAGACTTTTTCCTCAATATCTTCAGGTTCTCTTACTGCATGTGCAACTTCTAAATCCAATAATCCATCTTTCATAAGGATTTGCCTTCCTTTTTCTTCCAGCAAGGCCTTGGCATCTGGATATTCTGTCAAAGCCTCCATTAGGTCATCTTTATGTAGACAAAACAAATCTGAATAGCCAATGCTCCTAATGTTGGCTGTCCTTCGATTTCCAGCTTTGCTACCTTTTATATTAAGAATGCTAATCTCTCCAAAGTAGCTGCCATTGCTTAGGACAACATACTGAGTCACTCCATCATCAGCTACCACTGCAAGCTTGCCTTCTTTGATAATGTACATTTCTCGCCCAATATCACCTTTCTGGCAGACATAATCTCCAGGGCTGTACACCTGAGGCTGTAGTTTTAAGACTAACTCAACCAATAGTCCAGCTTCACAATCTGCAAAAATCTGCACCTTTTTTAAGGTTTCCAAATGAACATTAATGGCAATTTCTGCTCGTAGTTTATCTGGGAGAAACCTCAAAACTTTTCTTTCATCTACTGCCTTCTTATTTGTCCACAAATAATCAAACCACTTGATAACTCTTGTTTCTAAATTTTTGCTCACATTCCGAAATTGCATGTACTGCTTAATAGCATCAATTTTTGCTTGAAATTCTTCCCTGGCAGCATTCATGTTAGATATCATAGAACCAATATTACCAACAATGGAAGCAAAAATCAATACACCAACTAAGAAGTCAATGACAACAAATAAATACTCAGCATCTCTCACAGGAGGAGGTGTTTCACCAATAGTTGTCAAAGTCAGTGTTGACCAGTAAAGACTGTATACATATTTTCTAGCAAGACGGCCAAATTCAGGATGGGTAACGTTGGGATAGACCCAAGTGTCTGTACCAAAGCCAATGGCTTTGGAGATTGAAAAGTACATGCATGCATTCCAATGGATAATAATTATAATATACATGACAAGGTTAGAGATCCTGAAGATATTTGGGTAGCTTGTTCTTGTTTCTGTTTGCTGGAAGAATTCAAACATTCGTGATATTCTAAGCAATCTGTTTATTCTTATTTCTGGATAGTTCAGCCCTAACTTGAAATAAACTAGATCAGTTGGTATGATGGACAGTACATCTAATTTAAATTGTACAGTTCCCATATATTTTTTCTTAAGTTTACGTTCTTCTTTCACCAACAAACCTTGATCCAGATAGCCTAAAATAAGATATACAAAAACATTTGTGATGTTATCCTGTTTTGTTTATATGACAACATGAAATATAGGCAATACATTAGTGACCACTTGCTAACTACTAGGTAAACCAGGTGCTTGCATCATCTTGCAAGTGGTAAGAATTTTTGCATTTCCCATTCTATGCCTACTCAGGAATCTGGAGAAGCAGAAGAACGGCAAATTAAGATTTGGTAAATTATCTCCTGTATTTACCACAAATGTCTCTGTAATATAGTGAACTCCAATGAACCCAAACCTAGGTTTAAAAAATCTGACTAAGCTCTTCTACCCAGGGTTATTGTTCCATTTGAGCTGAACCAATAAAACAGCTCACATGGAACACCAACACTAGGTTTCTTTTGAACTCTGGGTTCTCACAAATGCAACAGAATGCTGATGTACACTGCCTAATACCTCTTGTAGTGAGAGTCATCCCTTTCTTATTTACTATGATATTTGAACCAGGAGCTCAGGTTTGTTGAGGGAGAGACAAGCCAGGGTTCAACCTAAGGTAGAGCTGCGGTTTGCTATTAGGGCACTCACCAGTTACAAGCTTATGAACACCCTTTGTCCCTTGTCCTCTTGCAATTCTGGAAAAAGAGACTATTAAATTGACTATTAAACCAATCCGGGAAACTCCCTGATTTGAGCACTCCCTTAATAAACCAGGATTACAAGCCAGAGTTTGATTCTGATTTGTTATCCTGGTCGGGCTAAATATGTCACTATCAGGACTGCCTACTTCTGAATGAAACTGCTCAGCTCCAAGGCTGGTGAGCAAAGATTAGGCCTTTCCATTGGTGAAGCTTCATGTACAGAATGTCCTTCTCAAATAAGTCCTCCTGGCATCTTCATTGCTAAATTTTGGGTACTAAGTTAAGATTCTTTCATTTGCCTGTGAATGTTAATACTTCAATGAACACTTGTTTGACTGTTTTCATGTCATGTATTGGTTACTTTTATCTTTTAGTTGTCATCTATGGCAATTTATATTGCTATTTTGTGCCCACTGAACTCGATGGATGTTATTTCTAACTTTAAAAGGAAGCTCTATACATTTACATAAATAAAATGGTGCTCCTATACTGCCTTAATTATGTAGTTAGTATTCTAACTATACTATATAGTATTCTAACCTATATCTATTTGAGAATCTTTCTCAAAGATCTTAACATTAGTGGATTTTAGCATCATCAGAACTTAATGCATTCACATTTTGTACTAATCATCTTCTATTAGTCGCATCCCATATCACCCAAGGTTACTTCTTCCATATAGCATTTATTGGAATACTAATACTCCAGTTCAATATGCAGCTTCAATTTTCTTATTAAATTGTCAAAGATACTTTCAAATTTTATTTATTTATTTATTTATAATATTTTTATGCCGCACCCATCACCGAAGCCTCAGGGTGGCTTACAAAGAAAATAAATAAAGAATAGAATAACATTAAAAATTTGGAGTTTCTCGGCCATAATTTAAAACCACAAATAAAACAACCGATTAACAATTAAAATATTGTTTAAATAAAAAGGTCTTGGCCTGGCACCAAAAAACAAATAACGACGGCACCAGGCGGACCTCTCTGGGAAGCACATTCCATAGATTTTACATATCCCCAGCTAAGGAAAGCTTCATCAAGTTCTATAATATGACTTTGGCCTCAGAATTGTATATCAAAGTACATTTTGAAAAAAACAACATGGTTAGCAAGTTACTGACCAGGTGATTCCACAGAACATACCCTTACCTGTTCTTATACGAACAAACATGTCAGCAACATAGATAATATCTGATATGTAGTCAAAAATAAACCACATTTCTAAATTATTGCTCTGAAGTTCATCAAAACAGGCTCTGAATAAGAAACGAAACAAGCAGAATTTAAAATTAAGCATTCTGATGGTGTAGGAAGGATAAATGGAGCCAAAAATGCAAGGCACTGGGATAATCTCCTATGGAATTTTATTTTCACAAGTGCTATTCATTTAAATGGGACTGAGAGAAGGTGGCACCACACTTTAAAAATGATACAGACAGACTGGAAAGTAATCATAGAAAGCAGTGAAACTTGGTCATAAAAGGTCTAGACCTTGCGTGCTCAGCCCAATTAAGCATTACAAAGGTGAGAGATAGAAAAACTGCATTTTATTCTTGAGAATAAATTTCAATCACAGCAAAATGACAACTGACCCAGAAGGCAGGGGCCAGTCCCCTTTTATACCCTGGATTGGACTGAAATTCCCGCTGCAAGCACTGATTGGCATGTTTGAATTCAGGTAGTTTCTGCACTTACCTGGGAGCCTGGGCTACCTGGAGGTTGTGATGAGGGCTTTTGGCAGAATATTGCTCAGTCTCTGGCCATTTGCAATGCCATGTTAACATTGTGGATGTTTGGGATGTAACTAGCCTGCTCTTGCTTAATGTCAGCCAGCCAGGTATGTCCTACAAAACTAATCCTGTGAGGGAACTAGGTACATTTAGCTTGGAGAAGGCATGAGTGAAGGGGGACTTAATTGCACACTTTGAATACTTGATGAACTATAATTTACAGGGCATATACTTGCTCTCTTCTGCCTCAGAAGGCAGGACTAGATTTAATGGGCCAACTAATTAACAGGATGTCCTCTCCTTTGCAAGAGTTCTTCAACCAGAGGCTGGACAGCCAGCTGTTAAGGATGCTCTAGCTCTGAGTTGCCTCAATGAACAGGGCATTTAACTAGGAACCTACATGCTCCAGATTTATTAATACTTCCCAAGGCAGAATATTTCTTTTTTACAACCAAATTAACCATTTACTTCCACATTACCTATTGTAAAATCTATGCTTGTATTCCACTATAAACCGAGGTTCTGATTGAGCATGTCAATGCTCAAACTACATTCTGAAGGAAAATCTAATGACACAAATTTACTCTGACATAAGCTACGTCTGTGAGGCTGCATGCATCCATGATCTGAGGCTTGAGTGAACCTTCATGTAAGCTCCTCATTAATAGCAAAATGCAGCCAAAAGGTAATCCAGGTTGAACAAATAAATGCCCCTGACCGGAATGAAAGTATGTGTGAGAATTAATCTGAAAAGTATGCATGAGTTGAAAAAACAAGTAAAATATTGAGTGAATGATGGAGCAATTTATAAAAATCCAATAAATTCAATTTTATATTTATTTTTCGATTTATATCCTGCCTTTATCCTACAAAGGGCTCAAGGCCGCTTACATCATTCTCCTCCTCCATCTTAGCCCCACAGCAACAACCCTGTGAGGTAGGTTGGGCTGAGAGTGTGTGACTGGCCCAAAGTCACCCAGTTGGCTCTATGGCTGAGCGGGGACTAGAACCCAGGTCGTCTGAGTCCTAGTCCCATGCTCTTAACCACTACACCACACTGGCTCTTTGCTATCAAACTGACTTGCATAAAGATGATCTCAACCCACATACAGATATCAGTTCTCTGTTGAGGCTAAATCAAATTCAATATAGCAGTATAGCACTCATAAGTTACAGAAGCTTAGTATCTAACTTTACTCCATAATGGTTTAGCAAATCATTATTTAATGTTTTCTAGATGTTAATATATATATATATATATATATATATATATATATATATATATATCTTAGTCATTATCACAACAATCTTGTAAGGCAAGCAAGCCTTATTATGCCCACATTGCAGATTGGAGTGGGGATGGCAGTGCAAATGAGAGATTATGGTTTACGTAGTGAACACACGATAGATGTGACATTTGAGTGGATGACTTCCTAGTTAACAGCTTGGTTTCTCAAGTTAGAATCCTATATACACACATTTTCCTGGCGCTGAGCCTCACTGATCTTTTACTTTTGAGTGCATATACACTGGAATGTGTTATTACATAACTGCTGCGTAGCTAGTTGGTAAAAAGGTGCATAAGGTTTCTGCATGTTGTGGTTTTCCTATTAAATCTAACACTTACAGTGCTGAAAAGTTTTTAACTTCCTTTCATTTCTCCTTCTGTTTAAGGTATCAAATAAAATACCTGTTATGATCAATATGCTGTAATATGCTGTTATTTTATAATACCTAGCAATGATCATGGTCCAGTTGTACATGACAGGCAATGTGATGCAGAACAGCCAGTTGTAATACAAGTTTCCTGAAGGATCAATAACGAATACTTCTTTCTTCTCACTAAACAAGAAAAGTGGATGTTACTCAGGAAGTGGTTCAAATGGCTGACAAATGAAATCCAACAGCACCTGCATTTAACTCTTTCACTGAAACCAGTAGAATGTAAATGTACTTAACTTTGGAAGACTTGAGCTCCATTTTTTTCTTCCCAACAAAAGTTGCTATCCATATATAAGAACATATATAGCTAGTTGGCTAAAACTATAAGTCTTCTTTCTTAACTTGACAAAATGAGCTTACACTAATGTGGCAAGTATAAGAACTTTCAGAGGGATTGTCATACTAATTTGTTGTAGCAAAAAAATCAACATCATTTTAAGAATTTCATACTTTATTTTTCTCTGAAGGCATATTGACCCTTTAGGGAAAAAATTCTCCCATTTGTCTGCATCCCACTCTTAGATTATTAATTCTAGCTTCCACCCCCATGTAGACCTCACAATAAACTGATAGGGCTAGGTCAGCTAGCTTTAAAAAGAAAGGCTTTTGTAGGGGACATGGTGGGTGGCAGGCCAGGATATAAGTCAACTTGAAAATGGCCAGTGGCCAGTGCCAAGTCATCAGTTGGTTTTCTATGCACACAGTGGCCCAGTTTGCAATTGCAGAGTCAAACTGGAAGGGTTCAGGCAACACGAGAAGCCCTGAGGAAATCTCACCATTGTGAGTCTGTTGCATTATCCAGACCCAGTTCATATATGGTAGGATTTACTTTCTGAAACCAGAGAGAATCAATGGTTGGCTCTGAGTTTCCATGCATCACCACAGCTTCTCTAGTAAATTAGAACCAGGATTGCATTTTGCTCTTGTTGCTGTTGAGACATCATAAAGACCCCTGGCAGGAGCAGCAAGAGAAGTAGTGGCATCTGGCCTTTGATCTCTAATGTCCTTAATTCCTTAGCAATAAGACATTGCTTGCTGGGAATAAAGCACAACAATACATGTAGGGAGAAGGGGGGTTGCAGCAAAACTCTTTATTTACATTTAATAAAAATCTGTGTGCATGTACATACATTTGGGAGGATGAAGGGGAAAACCTACATCAAGTCCACAGTGTGCTAGTAAGGAGAAGGTTGCTGTCATCCATTGGCAAGAATAGGGAAATGATTGGGATTTTGCTTATGGTGGTTGTCAGGCTGTGTAATAAGGACAGAGTAGAGAGCTTAGAAACCATGCTGCCCAGATAACCATGTGATTGACCAGTAAGTCTGAGCAAAAATCCATGTGCCACGGAAAAAGCACAGCATTGTTTGCCATGGCATATGAACCCTGCCACAACATTTTTTGGGTGCAAGGGAGAGATTTGGCTGACATATTCTGATCCCTAACATACAGGTATCATGTAGATAAGTAAACAATGTAACGGTTTTTTATGCTAGCACATACTTATCATTTCTTTTGTGCTGATTTTATTAAGTATCTCATAAATTTCTCTAGAAAATAATAAGGATAAGAATAAAATTCTAATAAAAACCTTCAACAGTAAAAATGAATAAACATGCTAGCACAGAACACACAAACACAGAAACTAAAATGGCCTTCGTCATCTGCCAACATCCATGTGTCTATAGAGAGACATTACCGCTGAGACCCAATAATCTGAAAGTTATAAACCACACTACAATGATAATCTATGCCTCTGCCTTGATCATTCTTATAATTGGGGTCTCTATCCCTGAATTAAAAGTACTTACATCTGAACGTTATTTTGTTCCTCGGGGTTATCTTTAGTTCTCTTTGATTTCTCTTTATTTTTCTTGTCCATGGTGTGTTTTTCACTTTCACCATCTTCTTTGCTGAAAAATTGATTGAAACTGTAAGTCCAATTACAGTAACAATGGAACCAACATTTGAGAGACAGAGATTGAACGAGAAGATAAAGTCCTATAATATATTGTAATCCTAATTTTATTCTCTTGCATTACTTAATCTGTCTGATTTTCTGTTTCTTCAGGAGTACAAAAGAAACAACTAGATAATCAACTAAGGAATACCTTTAATTGCTACTGCCACCATGTCTTGTGACAATCAAATGCTTCCCAGCAAGCTACCCAGCGAGCATGATTTCAGCAAGTGGGCAAGGCAGACCTTGCAGATTTGTCCCAGAAAGTATCCAGAAATGCACCCACTTGTCCAGAAAACCAGTGTGTCAGCAAGAGTGTAATATTCTGTGCTCTTCCTGTGGATAGCTGTCCTATCTAATATTCTTACAATGTCCTATAAACTGCCCTGTTACACATAAATACTAGTCTACAGCTCCAGTCAGTAGCATTTATTCAGTTCTTCAGTTCTCCTGTAGATGGCAGTCTTGTCTTAGCATTTCTTGACCCTAGCTTGTGCCCTTTGTGCTTGGTTGTGCATATAGAAATCCCTGTAGAGTGTGCAGAGCTATGCAAAGAACTAAAGCTTCATTTTTTGAAAAGTTAAACTCTTTGCAAGTTCATTCTGGTCCATGAAGATGAATGAGAATTTGCCTTTGATTTCAACAGGATGTGAACTGCATATTTTCAGGGCAAAAGAACAATAACTTGTTTTACTCCCTTTATGAATATATGATTTTAGGCAACATACCAATTAACTTTGAACTAAATATCCAAGTTTGTCACATTCAGTTGGAACTGTCAACAGCAATTATATGAAACAAGAAGTACCATATGAGGAACCCAATTAATCCAGCTTTTTCAGTGGAAGAACAGTTAAACAAGTATGTTTAACTTTGGCAAGAACATGTCCTATATAAGTAAGTAAACAGGTAAGAGCTCCTTTTAAATGACTTGCAGAAACAATATAGCAGAGAATGCAAATTACAGCAAAGTAAGCACAATTCTGTTCCTTCAAATGGATACCACCACCCCAAAAGTAAACTGATTGAGTCTCCCTTCTTACCTGCTGTCACCATCTTCAATTCTTTCTATACTTGCATTTCTGCCCTGAATAGCCAATCTGTGAACATCTGAATGTGAGTGATGGGTTTTGATCACTCCTACTCTTGTGGTCATAACTTGACTGTATTATCTGGGAGAGAGAGAAAAATATATTCAGAATATATCAAAGACTCTGCTTTAATGCCAGGAAGAAATTCACCCATTCTCCCATAAAACGAATGGGTCTTTATGCAGTCCAGCAGATTTTATCTGAGAGTAAATCCTATTGAACTCTTGCTTCTGACTAGACATACATATTTAGGACTGTGCTGACAGTGGAATCATGCTGCACTTCTCTTGAGTTATTTAAAGTGAACTGTGCAAAATAAGAAAAAACTAAAAATAAAAGTACTATGGGTATGGATTAAGCCAAACTTAAGCTTAGCCATTATTTAAGCAGAAAGGGGGGATATTTTAAGCGTGTGTGTACTCCTCTCTGTGTGGTATGTTTATATGTTTGCATATACATGTATATGGCTTTTATAATGTATTTTTAAGTTTTTAATCTTTGTAAACCACCCAGGGAATGTTGGCTGTTGGGCCGTATAGAAATAAATGAAATAATGACATGAAACTTTAAATCCCATTGATTTCAACAGTAAGTTTACCATGCACTTGATTCTCTCCCACTGAAATCAGTTAGATTTATGAAGCGATCCTATGCATATTACACTGAAATAAGACCTACTGTATTCAGTACAGCTAACTCCTAGACTAGTGTACATAGAACTCTAGCATTAAGTAGCAATATCAAATACTTTTACTACCAAACACAGTGGAACTTACTTCCAAGTAAACATGCATAGGAATAGTGTTATTAAATGTGCTTAAATTTAGCTGGACAAATAAGAAATGTGTCACACATGTGTTTCTTCTGCCACTGTTTCTCTAGACAAGAAACTATTATTGTTTCCAGTTTAGCCACAGCATTTGCTTTGCATTTACAACTGCTCATGCCCCCAAACAAAGGGCCTTTTGCACCATATATTTAAAAAAATAAAAATAAATACACATAGTTCTTCATTGTGCTATGTAAAATTTCCCCATCTTGCAGGAAATAGTTAAAAACATGAGTTCAACCAGTATTCAATATTGCCCACTCCTGACATTCCATTTAGCAGTCAAACCTATTAATAGCCCACCACTACATTCATATGTGTCTATGAAACAAAACCAAATGACGTGAACAATAAATACCAACCTCATTCTGTGCATTCCATCTGCAGCAGTAAATCCTGGGTGGTAATGAAGCCTTAGGCTCTTGGGGAAAGCAAACTGTGAGGAAATATACGAAAGTGAACTACAAAGTGAAAAGGATGTCAGTGGTAATAAGATGATATTATACTGCTTGCTTGTGCTTACCTTGTACATTTAATCTGCTGTTAGTTGCAACGAAAGAAATCCTTTAAATCTCCACACTGTTGCAGCCATGGATGTACTGAAAATACGGAAGCAAGCAGGGCACAAATTCCACTATAGAAGCATTCATAGCTTGTGCAAAATAAATATGTAGCAGTTTTATTTTGGGGGCAGGACAAGCATCTCTTTGGGCCTGCGTGATTTTGAGATTTCAAGCTAGAGAAATATAATAATCACCATTATCTATGGCTGCCAGTTAGTTAGTTAGTTAGTTAGTTAGTTAGTTAGTTAGTTAGTTAGTTAGTTATTTTAAACACTTATATCCCATCTATACCAACAGGTCTCAAGATGGCTCACAACAAAGCAGCACAATTAAAATAGCATGTGAAAACATATAATACAATTCCTATCTTTAAAATACCATGAAACCTTAAAATACCAGGTAAATAAAAAGGTTTTGGCCTGGAACCAAAATGAATAATGCATCAGCACCAGGCATGCCTCTCTGAGGAGCAGATTCCAAAGCTGGGGCACTACCACAGAAAAGGCTTTCTTTGGTAGTCCCTCTTCTAACCTCCTTCAAAGAGGGCTCCCAAAGAAGGATCTCAAGGCTTAAGAGTCAGGCAGGTATGTGTGGAAGGAGGCGCTCCTTCAGTTATCCAGGCCCAAACCATTTCGAGCTTTGTACATCAAAGTTAACACCTTAAATTGGGCCTGGACTTCAACTGGTAGCCAGTGCAGATGGTACAGGCCTGGCGTTATATGATGGTGCTTGCCAGTCCCTGTGAAAAGCCTGGCTGCTCTATTTTGTACAACTGGAGAATCAAGACCATCTTCAAGAGTAACCCCACATAGACCGTGTTACAATAGTCCAACCAGAAGGTTATCAGAGCATGGGTCACTGTTGCTAGGCTCTGCTCATCCAGGTAAAAGTGCAGTTAATAGACCAGCCAGAGCTGATGGAACATGCTCTTTACTACAGCAGTCACCTGGAACTCCAGAGATAACTCTGGGTCAAGGAGCACTTCCAAATGGCACACCCCATCCCTTAGGGAGAATGCAACCCCATCCAGAAAATTTTAATTCCAGAAAAGAACTCTACCCTTCTAGCAGCTATATATCTGGCAGAACTTCAACAGGCTCAGATGTTTCCTCCATAACAGTAAGAGAAAAAAAGACACTTGTACTTTTGTATGGCCAGACTTGTTTAAGGGCCCAGAAAGATTGTTGGTAGCCAAGCTATCACTTAACATGACAGTAAATTGGCTTGCTTTTTTCAAACATATACATTTAAAGATAAGCACCCTGTCTTGAAAGATATTAGAATATACCCATCTTAGAACGCACACACTCATGTCAAGATATGATTTGGGCTTGTGGGAGGACACTTTGACTTGACCCTCATGAAATACTAAAAACACTAGGCCAAGTATTCAGACCATCACTATGCAGTAGTAATACCTTAGCCTATGAAATAACATTCTCTTGTGGTCTACTCTCATATTGCTTTAGTAATAAATGAAGCTGCCAAGCAGGTGAATGCAAAGCATTTGTGTATGCATGTGTGTGCCTAGTCAGCTTCTCTGACCCAAGGACTACTTGTTTCCTGTGATTATTTGCAGTGTCAATCTTGGATGGATCTATGCCAGACAACAGCAAAGGATTACTTTTTAATAGGTCATCTTTATTCTCTTCTCAAATCTTGCTTAGTCAGGAATTTTCTAATTCCTCTCAATCTCATTAAGGCTTGGTCTTGTTTGAAAGCCTCCCAATGTTTTGAGGAGGACACAACACCACAATACAACATGTCCCAAACTCTAGCTGGAATTGTCTAAGCTGTGTAAGGAATACATCCTGTTTGGTTTCAAAGTTCAATTGTCCCTGCCCTACACACTCCCACACTTTTGTTTAGCAAATGTGTATAATCTTATTTTCCTTCACGGTAACTTTGCTGTGGAGGGAATTATGGGACATTGGCTGAAACAGTTGTGGGTGAGGGGGAGAAATTGCAGAGGCCCAAAATGTGTGTGGCATCTCAACTCACTGGCATCCATGTCTCCTGATGAGATATTGGGGGCAATGAATGGGCAATTTACCTGAACAAAGAAAATGGAGAATGTATTTAACAAGAAGAAGGAAAGAGGAGCAACTATGATGCACATAAAATGTATGTTAGTGACTGGGGTCACAGAACATGACAACTGATATCTAAGGTCAAAAATGGGTTGTTGTTGAACCATGGGCTGTTGCTGAAATATGGGTTGCAGTAGTGTACAAACTGGGATATAATCTAGGTCTCAGATGATGATATATACACTTGTACTAGAGCTGCTACTAAATAAAGATTACTGTATAAGGACAGACAGTGGTGACAGCTGTCTTCTCCACTATCTTCACTGGATGCTTACTTTTTCTGTAATCTGGAAAGTGTTCAGAGGAGAGCAACAAGGATTAAACAAAGCCGTAGGAGGAGAGATTGGAAGAACTAGGCATGTTTAGGAAGGTTGTGGGGAAATATGATAGCACGAGCCCATATGTGTGATGCACAGAGACCATGAAGGAGGAGGGCAGGATCTCTATTCAGTTACCCCAGAGTATAAGACATGCAATAATAGGCTCAAGTTGCAGGAAGTCAGATTCCGGCTGACCATCAAGAACTTCCTGACAGTCAGAGCAATACAACAATGGAACCAAATTACCCGGGGAGGTTGTGGGTTCTTCCACACTAGAGGCATTCAAGATGCAACCGGACAGCCATCCAAGAGGGACGGTGTAACTTGGAATCCTGCACTGAAAAGGGGGTTGGACCTGATGATCCTCTGCCCCCTTCCAACTCTACTATTCTATGATTCTACCAACTGAAATGATTATAAAGGGAGTTCTATCTTTTAATGGATGATAGGTCTTTCATTGGTTTTGGCTACTAATGTAGACTTCATGTCCATATGCGATACGCCATTTAATTGCAGTTGCTGGGAGATCACAGCAAGAAACAGCTATTTTCTTGCTGCTGAGTTTCCTAGAATGATTGGTCACTGTGCAATGCTGGATGCTGGAGTAGACAGATGGTTGATCTGACCCTGCTGGATTTATCTTTCTCTCTCTTTCTGCCAGCATATGGAACAATAAACTGGTAATACAAACAAAGGTGCCTGTGGTTTTAAGCAGATTAGATTAATAGACAGAGCAATCAACTTCTATGGGTGAAGGAAAACAATCTTCCTTGGTACAGTTACATTTAGCAACCATTTCATTGTATTAGTTTATCAACACAGCAGCTTTAGTATATTAGTACAAGAATATTTATATACTACATCTCTGGCTCATATCAAGCTTTGGGCTATGATCCCTAATAAATACAGTAAATGCAATCCCCCAAGCAAATGTGGTCACTCCCAACTACCGGTTCACAAGTAACAATAGCAGAATATGGGTTGCCATTAATTCATGTACTGCCATTGAATCATAGGTTGCCATTATATGCAAACCTTGCACTATGGTTTCACTATGGGTTATTGTGAATAATGCAGACCTGACAACCCACCAGCAAACCATTGATTCTTTTCCTGGGTTGTTTTTGGTTTACAACCCAGAGTTAATCAATGGTGCAACACTGGCTTACACATAAGCACAACCCAGAATACGTGAATTGTGAGTTGTCAGGCCCATCATGATAACTCTCCTTCCATCTGCAATTTGCTGCCCTCTCAGTTCTC